TAAAGAGTGATAGTAAAAAGGTGCAATGACAAAATCTAGATTGACTCTCGTTCATTCATCTACAACAAGCAAACATTTTTAAGCACTGCAACCAGAAGTAAACCGAAGTAAATTAGAGCACATAGCGCCAAGACTTAGATCACCAAAATGTATATTCTCATCACTTAGCGAATACAATAACTCTCACAAACACTGAATGGAAGTGCTTTCTCTATCACTTCAAGGTGAAAGAATACCACTACCAAGTCCCAATTTGATCAGTGATTGGCTTCCGACTTTATTAATAAAGTTGGCTTATTAATTGAATAAGCTCACGTCCACATATTTTTCTCAATGTTCCTTCTACATTAATCGATTTCACACTTTGGGGGTGAAGAAGTAAGAAACGGAGGAAATGTCTTTGCTGTCCAGAGAGACGCCAGTGTAGAAACATGAACAGAATGCTCCTTCTAACTTCCAACCGAAGACCACAATCAGTAAACCCGTGACTTTTGCGCTTAGATAATTGATGCTGTGACCATGCCATTGTGGCTTCCAACTATACAGGAATAATGGAGGCTAACGACATGAAAGCGTCGACAAAAAACTACTATGTAACTCTAAAGAGGAATGTGGTGTGACCCATCCTCCTTTCTTATCCCCAAAAACTCCAATCCCTCCACCACACAAGTTTTAGAACTTGGTCAATTAAGATAAACCTTTTCTTTTGTTTCTGAAGGAAGGGAATTTGCTCACATTCGGGCTTTCTAAAATCTCTAGCAATTGCAAAAACAAAATCACCATTAAGAAGTATTCGGATCCCATTCCATTTATATTTCATCACTCTACCGAATACATAGACAGAACCTGAACACTTATGAACCACCACCCGAAGAGTGGAAATTCTTCACCAAGTATTTTACTAACTATCCTTTAAAAAATACTAACTCTCTTACTTCACAACTGATGTAAAGGAGACAAAAATCCCCACAATCGGGCAAAAGCATTACAGAATAGACTTGAAGTCCAGTCTTGAAGAAAGTGATTGCAATAATGATTTAGTAAAACAGATTGATTTAACGTGGTTTGGCTAGAAGCAATTTCAGTTGCTTTCGATAAACTGACATAGTTTTTCTACAGTAAACGCAAAATTAATTTAACTTTCTTGGTTCAAAGTTGGGGTCTTCATTTTATAAAATATATAGGTTATTGGCCAATATGCCTAAACATTTCTTGTTTCAGCTATTTAAAATGGAAAATGCAAATATCAAAAGTTCAGGAAACATATTTAATAATTCTTTTTTAAAATATTTCGTCTTCTGTATTATGAGTCGATACAAATAATGGTGATAAATATTTGTAAATTGAAATAAGGAGTTTGTTTAAATCTGTTCACTGAGAATAAGGTCATGATTATTATTGGAGGCGCATATGTGTACTGTATTTAGGCGTTATCGGTGCGCATGTAGAATATTCATTCGAGTACGCAAGTCCGAACCCATGGAGGTTAGTTTCTTTATTTTAAATTTTCTGCATAACATCAACGATTTTACATTGTGCCTTAAAAATGTTTAAATGTATTATTAATATACTGACCTGGGTGTACACATATTTCCTTTTTACAAGTTTGATCTTTCCTTAAACATAGGCATCAAATTCCAATCATTACAAATTCCCGAATCCTTTACAACGACACTCGATGGGTTCGGGGAGAGCTTCTATCTTGATAGTTAACAGTGTGAAGCCACGACAACGGAGTATGTCGATTCCTCTTAGCAGGCTTCAGAGTCCAGGTGATTTAAAAATCGTCCCTACGAATCATGGTGTGAATGAAAATGAAACTTCTACAATGGTAACCAGGTCAAACGGAGTTCGGACATAAAATCAATCAGTCATTCCATCACATCAACCCATGTTTTCTATGAGAAATATCGTATCAGCGAATCATGGAGGAAATGTAACTGGATCTTCTACAATGGTTACCAGTATAAACCGAGTTCAGACTCAAAATCAATCAGGCATTGAATCACACCAACCCATGTACTCCATGGTAAATATCGCACCAAGGAATCATAGAGTAAATGTAACTGGATCTTCTACAATGGCTACCAATGCAATCCGAGTTCAGGCTCAAAATCAATTAATCGTTGAATCGCCTCAACCCATTTTCGTCACTTCGATCCCGAGTCATCCCACAATTGTGCCACTTGCTCCGACCCGGATTTAAGTAATTATGTAGTTGAAACACTTCATTTATAAGACTAGAATTTAAGTAGAATGAAACGGCACTATCCCTTCTCGTTTTTTTCGTTATATGCTAACATGTTTTGTTATGCATTATATTTAAAGGGTCGAGGAAGAGGATGTTTATGGACAGTCGATCCGAAAGAGAGGCAAAATTTGTGGGAATCTCTAGGTCGTACTTCTGCTCTCCCTACTGTCAGTTCTATAGCACTGCAGCCTATCACGACGATCAGCACTCCATTGACAACTCTTAGCTCTCTTCCAACTTCCACTGGAAGTTTGATTACAACCAGTGCCTCAGTTGCTGAAGATAGAACCCCTCCAGCATTGCATGTGAATGGCATTCCTGAAGACAGGCCAACCAAAAACTCCGAACCCATGGAGCATGCAGAATCGGAATTCCTCGGTGTCACTGAGGATTGTGGTTCTGTAACCCCTTCTCAACCAGTTGGATTCGAGTGTAGCGGATTGCTACGCTAGTAAAGCCTGACCGACTCAGAAATCTCTATGGCAGATTCTCCAACATCTAGCTAGACTCCAAGAACAAGCTAAGCTATAGCCCAGCTATAAGGGAAGCAGACGCGTAGCACGGAATACGTCTATTCAGTAGGTATATTAATAGCGAAGTGTTGAGTTTGGC